TTTGGAGCCAACTCAGCCATGACCCCGGAAACAGCCAGGAGTGCCCACGGGAGTGCCCCATGGCCCAGCACACCCCTTGAGATGAGCGCAAGGTCATCTGGAGGGCGGAGGGGTGGCCCTTCCCTGGGGTGGGGGTGGGGTCTCACTAATTCTCCAGTGAGAATACTGCCATGAAAATAGCAGTCAGAGTGGGAGGGGGCGGCCAAGGAACCAGGAGGGTCTCCAGGCGGCCAGGGCTGCTTGTCTCCACAAGGTCGGCTGCCAACCTCTTTGTAGGAGGATCTGGGGTGGGTGGACCTTGCAGACTCATCTCCCCACCATCCTGCTCAGCGCCCGGAAGCTGCAGGCAACGCATCCTGATAGGCAAAGGGGAACTCCAGGCTCTGCCAGGAACAAAGGCAGAGGTGGTCTCCTTGGAGGGCAGGCTGGGGCTTCCCTGGAGAGGTGCCCGGCCAGAGGGCCCGTGCCAGGCTTTGGCTGGAGGGTGGCCTGGGCCCTGGGTGGCCAGGGAGGGCCCTGCCCACTGTCCTAAGCTGTGGTCGCCTGGAGCGGCCGTGACAGTGAGCAGGCCCCTGCGGCCCTCCGGGCCTGGGCGGGCGCCCCCCTGGGGGGCTGGCGGACTTCCCAGGGGGTGGGGGACTTGCCAGGTAGGCCGTAGGGTTGGGGGGGGACCGCTCCAGTATTAAAAGAGGGGGCGAACTTGATGAACCCCGAGCTGGGGACAACGTGGGCACAGACCCAACTAAACTGGAAGACCTGACTTCTGCGGGTCTGGGGGAGGGCGGGGACCCTGCTCAAAGCCGGCCTGCGAGTGGCTGGCCTGCTTGGCATGGAGCAGGGGCCTAACAAAGAGGCACTTTGTGGACTGCTGGCACGCGGCCGCTAACGGGGCGGCCAGGGCCCCGCTCGGAGCCGGAAAGGGAGCCGCATGGCTCTCCTGACAGCCGCCTGGTCTGGGGAGGGGTCTTTGCTAACTGTGCCTCTGCTGGGAACGCTGGTCTGAGAGTTGCAGGAAAACCCTCCACGGGCCCCTCCCCATGAAGGCCTGGGAAGGCCCTACATTGGGGCAGCTTCCGAGGAGGGACTGGATGGGAAGTCAGGGGGCCCCCCGGCCACAGACCTGGAGGCTCCCCTGAGAAGGCACACACTGGCCGTGCCAGCCGGGGCTCCTCTGTGTCCTGCTGGCAGAGGTCAGGTGGGAGGCAGACAGGCCTTCCCCTGCTCCCCGCCCGGCCTGGACCGGGTGCTGTCGCAGCTGTGGCCCCCCATGCAAGGCAGCCGACAGGACCTGCTTCTTCACTCTGCTGATTACGATGCTGGAGTCTGTTCTCAGCCGCGCGGCCCCAGCCAAGGGTCGGACCTGGCGTCCCCGCCTGCTGCTTCCCTTCCTGCTGACTGGGTACCCCGGACCCTCTGAGCACAGGAAAGTGGCACCAAGAACTCAGGCAGGTGGAGGGGGGGGTTGTCCAGTCCCTTTGTCAGCAAGCACATAGCACCCCTCAGGCTCCCACACCCCGCAGATGTCTGTGGGCATCTGGTTCGTGCCGGGTACCCCGCAGGTCAGGGCCAGGGCCGCGAACAAGATGGGGAGCCTGTGCCCAAGTGGGGAGACGGGAGCTCTGAACCTCAGAGTGGATTCGCACCAGGGTCGGGTCAGGGAGAGCTGGCTGGCAACAGCCCAAGTGGTTGTTTCACATGGGGGTCGGGGGCACCCACGGATGGGGCACCTGGGCAGAGACCCAGAAGGGAGTGCCCACGGATGGGCACCGGGGCAGAGACCCAGAAGGGAGCGCCCACGGACGGGGCACCCGGGCAGAGACCCAGAAGGGAGCGCCCACGGACAGGCACCCGGGCAGAGACCCAGAGGGAGCGCCCACGGACAGGGACCCGGGCAGAGACCCAGAAGGGAGTGCCCACGGATGGGCACCGGGGCAGAGACCCAGAAGGGAGCGCCCACGGACGGGGCACACGGGCAGAGACCCAGAAGGGAGCACCCACGGACGGGGCACCCAGGCAGAGACCCAGAAGGGAGCGCCCACGGACGGGGCACACGGGCAGAGACCCAGAGGGAGCGCCCACGTACAGGCACCCGGGCAGAGACCCAGAAGGGAGTGCCCACGGATGGGCACTGGGGCAGAGACCCAGAAGGGAGCGCCCACGGACGGGGCACACGGGCAGAGACCCAGAAGGGAGCGCCCACGGACGGGGCACCCAGGCAGAGACCCAGAAGGGGGCGCCCACAGATGGGGCACCCGGGCAGAGACCCAGAAGGAGCCGCAGGGGCGGGCCTCAGAGCCACTGGGGGAAGAGGGTCCAGGCGGGGGGACAGCAGGTGCAAAGGCCCTGGGGCAAGAGGGCGCCAACAGGAGGAGGCCCCATGCAGGAGCCAGTGTGGCTGGAACGGGAGCGCGACCCAGTGGAGGGGGTGCGGGGGGAGGAGCCAGGTCGAGGCTGCTGCAAGGACTCAGCGTTCCGAGTGAGAAGCGAAATGGGGTGCGGAGGGAGTGAGCGGGGGCGCGGGGCGTCGTCTGACATGTGTACAAGCATCCCTTGCATCATGTGGAAGCAGGGGCTCGAGCGGGCGGATGGGGAGGCGAGGCAGGGGCTCGACGGGGTGGGCGGGCAGGGGGGCGGCTGCAGGGACCTGAGACGCGGTGGTGGGGAGGGAAGGGGATTCCGTGCTGGGCCTCGGCTCTGGAGGGACGGAGCTTCCCAAGGGAAACGCTGCCACATGCTGAGGTGGGGGGGACGGGGCACAGAGATGCGCATGGTCAGGCCGCTTCACACCCAGACATCCATCAGCCACCCAGGGGGCCAGGGCAGGGAGGCGCCTGGCTGAGTCGGTCTCGGGCTTGGTGTGCTTGATGGACCTTAATCTTCTTTGGGATGAGCCTGGATGGAGGACGCAAGCCTCTTCCCAGGGCTGATGTGGCAACGCCTGCAGACCCGCCCATTAGTATTGGCTTTCAGGGGTCCTGGAGCCCAGGACAACAGCAGAGCGGGCAGAAGCCTCAGCTGACTGGGCTGGACTCGGGGAACATGGGGGAGGAAGGCGTCCCTTCACCATGGGAGCCAGCTCCACCCTGTCACGGCTCCCTAGGGGCTCCGTGCAGCACTCGGCCACCTGCGGGACCACCGGAGCGGCACCTGGCCGGCTCCCAAAGACGTCCACTGTCCAGGGAAGGACAGACAGCGGACAGGCCTTGCCCCCTAGTGTGCCCGGAGCCCCCACCCGAGACCCTGCTCATCATTCTGGCTGTAGGGTCACCTGTGTGACTGTTCTCTCCCTGCAGCCTGACACTCTCTGGATAAAAGGTGGGAAGTTAAGCTATAGATGAAGAAAGCTCAGGCCTCCCCGAGCTGAGAAAACCCTTGCTGGCATCTCAGAAGGACTGCGGTGCTAACCAGATCCCTCACAAGGGGACTGTGGCCATCCAGCCTGCGTATCAGCCAGCCCAGGTTGACCCTTCTTAACGTTTACCAGTCCTAGTGATCAGACGGAGGGACCACACCCCGCCCTGCCTGCTGGGGGACCGGAGTGAGGAGGAGTCCCAGGCTGGCTGCATTTTCTTCCTACGCTGCCTTTTTCTCCTAAGTGAAACAGGAACAGAGAACCAACTTTATAGAACTGCTGTGAAAATCGAGTTAGACAGCTCATAGGACACATAGCACAGGCCTGGCTTCTCACAGGTGTTCAGCCGTAGTGTTTAAAATGTGCCAGTGTGGTTTGCACACACACACCCCCACGTGCACACAGAAGCTGCCCTGAAGTCCCTCCTCATCCCTGGGCACAGGCTGATGGGTTATCTGTTGTCTTCTAAAAAACTTTTCAATATTTTCCAAATGTCCTTTGTTAAAGAAAAAAAGAATCTTTTTCATATTTAGAAAATACAAGTGATAAAAACAACTGGAATGTTCAAAGGTGTGACCAGCTCCCTGGGTGAGTGAGTGAAACAGCCAGCACCCCTACCCCATCTTTACCTAGCGCCCATGAGGTGGTCACACCTGTGGACCCCATCCACACGGCAACCCCAGCCGCCGGCACGGGGCGGAGGGGGGAGACTTTGGGGCCTGGTGGGTGGCTTCTCGCATCCTGACCCCTTGCCGGGAAGTGGCTAGAGAAGTCCCTCTGGGCTCAGAGGTATTGTCTGCAGAAGCCCCAGTTTCCCAGGGCCCCGGGGTGTTTGCACAGCCAAGGTCCTAACAGCACTGAAGAACGGGTGGCAAGCTGGGGCTGCAAAGCTGCTCAAGGCCAGGGCACGGCTTCTCTCCCTCGCCATCCCCCCCACCCCCAGCCTCCACCTGTCCCTGCTGAGCGGGAGGCAGTTACCTGTCAGGACCACATGCCAAGCCACGTGACTGTGTCTCCAGCTTATAAGAGTGCCCTCAGGACAGACAAACTGCCCTGCAGGCATGCGCTGGGCTGGAGGGACACGGGGCCTGGGACAAGCTTACGTCTAAGTGGGGTTCTGGGGGTGTACCCAGAGCATCCTTAAGGCTTCATACCCATCCCCCCTGAGGCAAGGCAAGCGTGAGCTGGTAAGGGGAGGCCTTCTGTGCAGACCCTGGAGATGGGGTCACCGGTCAGTCCATGACCAAAGTCAAGGGCCTATCATGAGACTGGGGACAGGAGTACTTAGACTGGCTTCTGACCACTGTCCTCGGAATGACCTTGGCTAACTGTCCTGCAGGCCTTTAGCGCCAGCCTCTGACCCCCACGGGGCCCAGAATGTACTCTGGGGGGAAAGTGAGGGTGGGAACCCCGTTCTCCACACCAAGCCCCTCCTCCCAGTGACCCTCTGCTCAGGACCACTGACCCGGTTCCGCCCCATTTTCCTGCAAGGACACCGCGGCTCTGAGCGGGCCAGGAGGTCTCTGGCCTAGGAGGGCTACTGCAGCCTGTCCTGACCCCAGGCCTCGGGTTAGGGTGGGGGCGACTGAGGGGGGACTTTTGAGGGTCCTTTCCGGTTTGAGGCTGATTTTATTTGTCCGCCCTTGTTTTAAAACATCACTTCTGTCCACAGGAGGGGGGCCTCGAGCAAACCGGGAGCCGGTGGGGTCAGGGGAGTCACTAACAGCCAGTGCGCCCAGATCACGCCGGGCCTGAAAGCAGACCCGGCCGCATTCACGCAGCTAGCAGTTACCCGGCTCAGCGCAGGAGGCGCCGGCCACCGCCGCTTCTTCCGCATCCCGGCTCTCCGGCCTCCGGGACGTCCGTGGCAGCCAAGGCCGCGCGCACCTGCTCCCGCCGGCGGCCCCACACGGCGAGGCATCCCAGTGCTGGCGCGGCCGCCACGGGGAGAGGGCGCCCCAGGACCGGGGGTTCCACACCTCCAGAGTGTGTGGGTCCCCGCCCCGGTCCTGCCCGCGTCCGGCCCCGGCTTCGGGCCCCGCGCAGGGTCCCACGCCAGGAGTCGGGGAGGAGGCGCGCGGAGGGGGCGCAGACCGGCCGCCCCCCACCTTCGGATCCGCCCCCGCTCCGTCCTCGCCCCTCCCCGGGCGCCCACCTGGCGCGGGGCGGCGCGCCCCGGGGCGGCGAGTGCGCGCGCGCGGCCGGCGCGCTGTCCCTTTAAACGGCCCGCGGCGCCTCCCCCGCGCGCCCCGCCCGCCGCGGTGCGGCCCGGTGCTGGGCGCGGCCGGAGAAAGTCCATGTGAGCCGGAGCGCCGGGCCGCCGGAGCACTTCCTGCCGCAGGCCGGACCGGGCCGGCGCCCGCAGGTACCCCAACTTCGCGCCGCCCGCGGGCCCCGCCGCCGCACTTCCCGCGAACTCCGCGGCGCGCCCGCCCTCGCCTGCCGCAGTGCCCAAGTTCGCGCCGCGCGCAGCCCGCCGAGCTGGCCGGCGGCGCCCGGGCCTGGGGAGGCGCTCGCCCGGGCCGGGCCGCACCCCGCCCGCCCCGCCGAGCGCGGACCCGGGCTCTGGGCGTCTCCTCTCCCGCCGGGCTTCTCGGGACACTCGGCCTCCCCCGACCGGACGGACGGATCCCAGCCCTCCGGGGCGGAGAACGCGCGCGGGTTCGGCGGGGGTCACGGCCCTGGGGACACGCCCCTCCCTCCCGGGCCGGGGTCCGAGGCCGGCCGCGGGGCTGCGCATCAGCCCGCCCTGCGTCTTTCCTTCCCCGCCTCCCCGGTCCCGCTGGACCCCCCCACCCTTCGGGGCATCACTGCCCTCTGGCCGCCCTCGTGCACCCCCTACCTGGGGAGAGCCCGGGGGACGGCTGCACTGGGGCGGGGGATCCCACCTGACTTCACTGCCCATTTCCTGCGGTGCTGAAGTCTTGGGGCCCCCGAGCCCCTTCTCCAAGAAGCTCAGAGGTGAACTCTGAGCCTGCTGCCCTTCCCCACCCCCGCCAGGGCCGGGGATGGCGGGGGTGGGGGGTGGGGGGGGGGACGGGACTCAAGCCCTTCCGACGTCGGCGTGGTGGGGGGGGGTCATGAGGTCAGAGGTCACCTCCGGGTCCCCTCTTCCGAGCTTCTCAGAAGTTTGGTCTTGGCGCTAGTGATGGCCAGCTCTCTGCTGGTGGCCCTTAAACCTGTGGATTTGCGGTGGGTTGGTCCTGGATCTGGGCAGGTGCCCACTATGATGGAATCTTCTTCCTTCTTCAGACCTGGGTCTGAAAGGTTTTTCTCACGGGAGCAGTTGGGCTCTTTCTTCCTAGTGGTTTTTCTGAGGACCGGTTGGGCACCCAGATTTGAGTCCCCTGGCCATAGGTTCTAGCTGAGCCTGTCCTGTTGGGGGGCGGGGGGGGCAGGGGGAAAACAGGCTGCATGGGCTGGCCATCTGGCAGAGCTGGTCTTCTGAGCACTCTGAACACACACCGCTGTGCTCACCGGGTCTGGTCTGGCCTGGCCTTGTCTGGGTCTCTCCAGGTCTCCACTTCCCCGCCTTCCCCTCCTCTTTCCCGGTGAACTCCATCAACAAAGGATGTGGGTCTGGTATTCAGCACAGGTGCTTCTCAGCACTCCATGCGGAGTGTCGTCTAAGGCCCCCGAGGACCCTAGGGGAGGCACCTCCGAGGATCGGCTCCGCTTTAGAGGCGGGGAGTGAAGGGTCAGCAGCCAGCACTGCCGCCCGCCTTCCGACACACCCCTCCCCCTCCTCCCCGTGGCCCTCTGTGGTGCCCACCCCTCCCCGGAGGCCCACTGGCATCCTCTCGTCGGTCACGCCACTGTTGGGTGGCCCCTCGGCTGGAGCCTGAGTGAAGGAGCTGGGAGGGGCGAGGCCCAGGGTGGCTGGCCCCCGCTGCTTTGGCGAGCCGGTGGGAAGGGGCACCGCAGGAGGACCGTGTCGCTCCTCCACTCGCAGTGGCAGAGGTGGGTGCTCGGTGGTCACACCTGGTGGGGTGGCGCCGGCCGTGGCGTCTGATAGGCCGCTGACTCCGAGCTGGCTCTGTCCGGCTCCTGCTTTGCAGCCGATCGAGGCGCCTGCAGAATCTTGGCCCACGAGAAAATGCTTGCGCGTTTTCTGACCGTGACACCGGCCACCCTGGCTGCCCAGGAGTGCCTTTGGGTTCTTGTCAGGGACGTGGTGGGGCGCTCAGAGGGGCCTTTTCTGGGAGGCGGGCTCGTGGGTGACTTTTTACAGAACCCTTAAAGCCTCCCTCTGTTTTCCAACTAAAACGTGAGCTGCATTATTCATGTAAGACAGACAGTGGTGATGGCAAGTGCTGAGCTGGCATTCACAGCCAGGGCTCCTCTGGCACCTCTGCCTCTAGCTAGGGCTCTGCGGGTCTGACTTGTGGCCTGGGCCAGGGAGGGCCTGGTACCCCTCCTGGGACAGAAAGTAGGCGCTGTGACTTCGACCCTTTTAAGGGTGTTCCCAGGGCTCCACCCCATGCCCCTCCTCTGAGCTCTGTGCTCCAGGGAATGCAGAGCCTGAACTGGCTGCGGCAGACGGGGTCTCTCTCCTGGCCCGGGGCCTCCTGGTGTGGCCCAGGGCACTCACCATCCCTGCGGCGGGAAGCCTCAGCCACCTGAGGCCTCACTCTTTCCACCTGGGGATGCGAGCCCGGCCCCGCAGCCCATCTACCCCCTTCTGTGTCACCCTGTCCTCTCTCGCCTGGGCTCTGCTCCAGCCTGGTTCCCCAACCCCCGCCCCTCCCCGTCCCAAGTTCTCTTGTCCTGCTGGGGTGTGGGGATGGGGTGAGCCCCCTGGCTGGGGGCAGCGGGCGAACGTCTGCTGAGCCCTTCGAGCATAAACTGCAGCCCAGATGACAGCCCCTAGCTCCCGATTCTCCAGGCTGGTTCTCCCGAGACCCAGCGCCTCCTGCAGACCCCCGAGTAACAGGCACACTAGGGAGCTTGACCCAGGCTGGGTTCTTGGGACAAGACAAGCCGCCTTCCAACTGAGGATCTGTTGTGTTAGCTGACCGGGGCCTGGCTCCTTCGCACGGCAGGGTCCCCAAGGGATGCCCCAGGCCCAGGAACTTTGTCTTTGGGTCCGGTCTTTGGTCTGCGGTGTGGTAGAGTTGGGGGGCACTTCCCCGCACAGGGAGGGGGCCCTCGGTCCCTGGATGGACCCTGAGCTGTTCTGGCTGTGGGCAGCTGCACTTTGGGAGCTGGGAAAGTCTGGTTGGGTCTGGGGTCTGATTGGGGGCTGGGGAGGGGTTCAGGGCCTCTCACTGGCCCCAGCCAGGTCCGCCTGCCCATGTGCAGGGAGCATCGCTGACCACTCTGTGGTCTGGGCACTGCTCCGGCCTCCGCCGGTGCTTCGTTCGCGTCTGGCTCACTTTCCTGGGCAACCCATCGGTCCTCCCCGAGGCAAGCCATCTAGCCCTCGGGTACTTCCAGGTGGGGCCCAAATTTAGGATTAGAGCCAGCATCTCCATTCATGTCTGCACTCCAGTTCAAGACACAAATGTCTCCTCACCTTACGCCCCTGTCTGCCGCCTTTGTGTCCCTCCCTGCCCTCCACCCCTCCTCACCCGGGTCCCCTCTCCGGGAAGCGTTCCCCCTTAGCAAGGCCCAAGGCTGCTACTGCCACCCGCCCTGCCTCCCGAGCAGGCAGGGATCCTGGCGACCTCTGTTTCTCTTTTAGCAAATCCTTGCTCTCACCAGGCCTGGCTCTCAATGAGATCATTTGCAAAATATGCTTCCCGGCTGGCCGGGGGCCTCGCATTGTGTCACCTGCAGCTGCTTGGAGCTGCGAGCTGGGCTTCCTGTGCCCTGGCCTCTGGCCTTTGTCATTTAAAGTGCAGGTTTTGGAAGCAGGCGCCCTCCTCCCGTGGGCGAGGGTCTTGTGGGTGAGGGTCTCAGCAGACCTCTGGCAGGGCAGGCATGGAACAAGCTGGGCTCCCTGGCGGCCACTTTTGGGGTTGGCATCCTCAGAGCCCCCGTGAGGACAAGGATGGTGGGGAGCACTCCTCCCTGCCTGGTTTGGGAGCGTGTCTGAGCAGGAGGAACTGAGAGGGGATCTGATGTGGCCCTGGGCTCTCCGGGGCTGCCCCCAACTTCAACTGTCTGGACCTGAGTCCAGGCTGGGAGGCACATAGGAGCAGGACCTCTCGGGTCTCTCACTCAGCCCCAGGCTGTGTGACCTGGGGTGGGTAACCCCGCCCAGGCCTGTGTGTAGGGATGCTACTGCTGGGAGGCTGCAGGTGAGCAAGCCCAGCCTGGGGGCCGTCTGGAGATGGCCCCCTCCCTAGAAGTGGACCAGAGCCAGCAGGGCGGGGGGGGGAGGGTGGTTCATGCCCCTTTAAGGAAAGTCCACCTCTCCGTCTGTGGGGAGGGTGGAGGCGTACTTCCCTCTGAGGTGTTGGTCTCTGTCCCACGGGGAGGAGAGGCTGGCTCCTCCAGGGCTCCGAAGGAATCTTCCCCCTCTCCCTCCCCATTGGCCCTGGGCCCTGGTGTCCAGGAGGGCACATGGCCATGGATGGGCCCGAGCTCTCGGGGGGCCCCGCCCCATGCCTGCCTGTGTGCTGGGGGAAGCAGGCAGGGCCGGGGGCGGGGACCGCCAGGGCCCGAAAGTGCCCATATATAGTCACCGGGGTGAGCAGTGAGCCTGGCCAGTGGGGCTGCATCCCAGGCCCAGGGCTGGCCCAGCCCGCCAGGTCCAGCATCAGGCCCAGCCCCCCAGGTCCTTGAGGGTGTGCTGGCCCTGGAGCGGGAGGAGGAGGGGCTTGTGTGCTGAAAGCAGCTGGATTTGGAGCAAAGCATCATATGTAGCAGCAGGCGCAGGTTTGGTGCTCTAGGAATGTTTGTTGATTGACAACAAAAGTCTCAGCGGCACTCGGTAGTCAGGGCCAAGTGTTTTTCCTGAGGCACCGCTTCTGAAAGTTGGAGGCTGTAACCTGGCTGCCTGTTGGCCTGAGCCACCCAAGGGTCCCTCACTGCGGGCTGGGGGTGGGGTGCCTGCAGCCCTCACCCCAGAAAATGCCCCCCTTCATTCTGGTGACAGCCCTAGTTGTCCATACCCCATCCGCACAGTACCAGGAGCTTCCGCTCTGATGGATGGCATTTTCCGGAAGATGCACCGCTGCCCCCGGCGCCCTGCCCCCCCCCCCGACCACCCCTCACCTCCTGGACGCTGCTTGGAGTCCAGCTGGTGGGGAAGGGGCAGCGCTGCCCTCTGGTTGCTGGTGGTCTTTGCGGGAAGTCTGCTCCTGTACCCCTCAGGGCCTGCCCACCCTCACCCTCGGTGTCTGTCCCTAGGTCTCTGCACCAAGAAGGGAGAAGCAGCCTGCCTCTGCTGCATTCCAACTTTCGACTTTCGTGCTGTTAAAAAATCACAGTGTTAACACAGAGTGCTTCTTTAATTTAGTTTCCATTGCACTGCTAAGTGCCTTTGTTAAATTTTGTATATTGATAGTTTTTGTTGTTGTCAGCAGTTTTTTTTTTAAATTTTTTGGGGGGATATAAAGCCATTAGGGTGAGAGAAGATTAAAAAGATACATTACAATTAAAATGTTAATGAAATCTGCATCATACAACTTTTGAAACCCTTTAGGCATTAATCTTGCCTGTGTCATGTCCATTAACTTTGGCTATTCTTATTCCACACTGACCCCTGCTGAGAGATTTGTGCTATAATTGGATTTTTTTTTTCTTAATAAAAAAGAAAAGAAAGCTTTTAAGAAAATAGAGATTGAGTGGTGGCCCCGGCTCAGGCACGAAGAGAAAGGGAGGGAAGGGTCTCCCCTTGGGGGCGGCTGTGGGCCCCTCCCAGGCGGTCAGTCCTCTTTCCTGGCCTGTGGACGGCCGGCAGTTCTGGACACTCGGGCCCAGCCCCTGCTGCTCCCTAGGGGACCCGGCGTGGCCATGTGCTTGGACCCGTGTTGTCGCCAGGCCTGGCTCACCTGTGGCAGAGGGTGTGCCATGGCCGCAGTCAGGGTGCGGGTGTCCAGGGCTCAAGGATGATCTCGCCTTCCAGGGGTGGGTCCCCAGGTCTGGGCGCTGGGTGACTGGCTGCAAGGGGGACGTCCCAGAAGGACCGATGGTTTTGGTCTCAAGTTTTTAGGATCCCTTGTCCCCCAGGAGACGCGCGCCTGAAGTCTGGTGTCCTGGGCACTCGGGGCTCCAGCATGATTCAGGGCTGGAGTTGGGGGGCGGGGAGCTCCCCCACTGCCTACGCCCAGGGGAGCGGGAACCCCCCCTTCGCCCCTGCCGAGAGTGGGCCCCCCCAGGTGCCCCGTGAACTTGTCTTGGAGACTCACCCTTGACTGTGGCCGGAGCCAGTGGTGGTTCCCGTCCAGACAGCACCCCTGACCGGGGTGAGGCTCAGGCCGGGTGGGGACATGGGCCTAGCCTGGGGCACCTGGGTCTAGCCAGCCCTGAGCAGTAGATAGTCACAGCCGTGGCTCTGGGAAGCTGGTCAGGTGGTTGGCAGGGGGCTGCAACAGACAGATTTCGTGTCTGTGTGTTTTTGCAACACCTTTCTATAAAGGGAAACATAATTTAAAATATGATTACTTAGTGTTGTAACAGCCGCCTTAGCGCTCCACGCTATGCCGAGATCATTATCAGAGACTGATATTAACTTGCAAAGAATATTATGCAAATTGCCCGCTGGCTCCTCCGGGAGCCCTCCTCCAGGGATGGAGATGTGTGTGGAGAGTGGGTGGGGAGCAGGCGGGTCCCTCCCCGGGGTGGGGGGGGACAGCCTGTATTCCGGGCCCCCCAGCTGTTGGTTCTTGGCTGTGTCTGTGGACACTGGGCAGGGCCTGTGCCCTTTCTCCACACCCGGCCTGGCTCCTTGTCTGTGGGGGGACGTGGAGGGGGACAGGGTGGAGGCCGGATGCTCGTGCCCCCCCCAGGCTCGCCTCCGGCCTCTGTGCTGTTTGGTCAGCGAGTGTTCTCTCTGTGTCGGGCCCTGGGTGGCACCTGGCAGCCTTCACAAAGCGGCCAGTTCCCCCAGTGGTTATGGGGGCCTGTGACTGGCCCTGGTAGCAGCTGGACCTGGCGGCCCATGACCCCCACGTGCTCGTCACTCCTGAAGGGATTGGAGTCGCAGATGGGGCACCCCCACCCCCGGCTGCAGCAGGCCTTCCTGACTCAGCACCGCGCTTGGTGTTCCCCAGGGGCTCGGGGCAGCCCCCAGGGGAAGGCGGTGGGGGGCTTGGCGTGTGGCTCTGACTGTCCCCTCACACCTGCCCCCTCCTCGAGTCTGAAGGTGGCCCCCTGCCTTACCGGGGCCAGAGCATGCCCCCCACCTTTGTGAACGCTGCTGTGGGGGTTCCCTGTGGGGTCTCCCAGCTCTGGGAGGGCAGTGGTGGTGGTTTTTGCCTGTGGAGAGGGCACGTCAGAAGGGACATGAGCCTTGCAGTCACCCTGGCATGTAACGGGGGTCACTGGGTGGGGCAGGGTCACTTTCCTGGACCTGGGTAGCAAGTGACCGTAAACTTGGGGACTTAAAGCAGGAGAGGCTTACCCTCTCTCAGTCTGGAGACACAGGAGCAGAATCAAGGCGCCGCCAGGGCTCGTTCCTCCTGGAGGCTCTGGGGGGACCTTGCC